CTTTTATAAAAATCAGCTAATCTCCAAGAATCCGTAATCGATGCTTTGCCGAAGGATCTGAGTACTGGAATTTATTATGGTTGGGCATCCTTGCATGGAAAAGCTTATAAAATGGTCGTAAGCATAGGGTGGAATCCGTATTACAAGAATGAAAAAAAATCAATGGTACGAAAAATAATTTCAAAATATAAAAGACTTCTTGCGAATTAAATCTAAGATAGTTCAATTATGTTAATATAAATTATATTATAATTGTCACTATTTAAACAATTTTAAAATATTTTATTATATTATAAAAATATCTTAGTGTGTTAGGTAAATACAAATTATAATTATTTTGCAGGAAGTTCATCTATTACACAAATTCCAAAGAGATTTATACGGTGAGGAGCTCAAGATTATAATTTGCGGGTATATAAGACCAGAAAAAGATTTCTCTTCTTTAGGTAATGAACACTATTATAATAATGAAATATATGTAAATCATAAAGAGATTACTTTCAAAGTAATTCAAATGGCTACTACTTTAAAATCGCTACTACTAATACTTTAGAGGATAATTTTATATTATTTATTATTGCAGACGAACTCATCACAGAAATAAAGAATGATATTGTAATCGCAGAGCGTCAATTGGAAGAACCAGTTGTAAATAAGCTGAAAAATGACGACTTTTTAATGATTAATAAAGCATAACCGTAATAAGAAAAAATGTAAATCTTCATCTGATAAAGAAAATATTTTTGCTACTTCTAGAGTTGTATATTTAATAACCCTCCGCTTTCCAAAATGGAATTTTATCTTTCATTGGCGCTCTGGATCCCTGAATTTCAATGCAAATTTTTATATTGTTCCGAACTGTATAAAAATCTGAGAAAGTGCTGGTACTTGTCAAAGCTTAATAAAATCCTCTTGCTCCGTTTGACTACGGCCTATTTGATTCAATAAAACATTTCTTGCGAGGACGATAAAATTATTGAGCAAGTTGAGGCAGTTTGTCATGAATTCTTCACGTTTAAAAAATCCGAAGGTACAGAAATCAAATCTGGTAGTTAACAGATTCATAGAGAATTACTGAACATGTCGTCTGTATATATTTTGAGGAATAATTATCATTTTTTAATAAATTTGTATATAAAAACCGAAGAATTATTCAGAATTTTGTTGACACAATTTATATAAAATAATATAGAGAAAATGTGTGTAAAATAAGAAAATACTATTTCTACATAAAAATACAATCATTATTTTATTATCCTATATATATTAATATTCAGCATTAAGTTATTTAGATGAATCTGGATCGACACTCTTTGCATCCGTTGTATTTGAAGAAGATGAAGGAACTGGTGGAAACCAATGTGTATTCGTCATCAACATTGGTGGCCAAGCTGAATAAGAAGGCATGTACACATTGGGAGGATGATCTATCGCTACGGACAAATACATAATATTGATTCCGAGAAACACCGAAGAGAATTATAAGATATCGATTTTGTGAGCTGTTACTTTAGAAAAGACTTGTCCAATTTGAGCTCCGAAGCTCAAATTGGACAGGCTTGCTTTAAAAATTAAGCTTGGTACCTTGATAATATTGGTGTGCGCCGTTCAAATTACTTGGATTGCTATACTGTGGTAAACGTGGTCCGCTAAATGTTGGTCTGTAGACTGTACATGGTCTAGATATCGGATGCATGTTTTGTGGAATTGGTTGACAATAAGCATTATTTTGTTGCCAAGCATTATAACATACATTATACAATCCATTCTGTGCAACATTATAATAACTACCACTACTCCAATTTTGCTGTTTCTGTTTATATCTTTGAGATTGGATTTTTTTATTTCTGTTCCATGGATGACTTGATTGCCAGCTCATTTCTGTGTTGCGAGAATCTAAAAATCAATCAGTAAAAATTATTAGTTGTTTATAACAACTGATACTAATTTTGTAATTAATATATTTTTTACTACCCATCCGACGTTGGCGTTTTTGCGGATTCTGGCCGTTAGAATCTTTGGTACCTTTCTGCTTCAGATTTTCGTAATAAGCTTGTTCTTCCTCATCGTCTGAAAATTCCGGTGGCTCATCGTCACCAATTGCATCACAAGCTTTTAACCTGAAAGAAAACATTTATTTTAATTTATTTACTTATTTAAATACACAATATTACAATCGCGTGTAACATATACTGTATTTATTAAAGTACCAACTTTGTTAATTCATGTAAGAAAACAAGAGACGTGTACTCCGAGTTCGGGCAATAATACACCTGCATACCCACTTTAACATCATTATCCTCTATATGTTTAGCATCATTGAAACGAACGCAGTAATATGGTTCGTTCACGGAACCAAATACATCAAATATTTTACCGAGCGCTTTTGTTCCTTTGTTTACAAATAAAACTGTATCCAAATTGAGTGTAACCTCACCAGGATTTGGTTTTACAATTACTAATTGTTCTACAATCTTTTCAATCTGAAATATTCAAATAATCGAGATTTGAGTATTTAAAAATTACGGTTTGTTCTTACAGTATTAATTTATTTTACATCTTTTTAGATATCCGTGTGTGTACAAGTAAAATGCCTATTAATTATTATTATACATTTATATAACAGCTAAATTATACTTTATCACTTGAACATATAATGTATGCATTTACAGAGACTTACATAGGCACTTTATTTGTATTGAATTTATTCTAAGAATTAAAAATATTAATTTAATTTATTTTAATTAATACACACACACACACACACACACACACACATATATATATATATATATGCATATATATAATTAGTTTATATTAATTATACCTTGCCTAATGGATTACATAAAACTTCAGGGACACTAATTTTTAAATCTTCTATGGGTGGAAGATCATCTAATTCATTTTGTATATGCTTTTGCTTTTTTGATACGTTTACTTCCCTTTCTTTCTTTCTGAAAATTAACATAATTCAAAAGTTTACACTCATAAAAAAGAGATTAAATATATACATTGTAATTTCATTTTTATAGAAAAGATAACAGTACTTGTTATTAATTTTTTTATCATCTGGTTCACTGTCGCTGCTACTATCACTACTGCTGCTACTACTACTACTGCTGCTGCTGCTGCTACTAGTACTGCTATCGATACTACTATCAGAATCATCTTCGCTATCATTTTCGTCACACAATAACTGTTTTTCGAATGTACGATATTGCTGTAAATTCTGTATTTGTAACATGGTATGTTCATTTTCAGTTGTAGTATTTGTTCTTATTTCTTCTTCTACTTCTGAATCTGTATCTTCATATTCTACAGCAATAATGTTAAGAGAAGACATTCCATTGTTTTCTGTTAAATAGATACAATTTAAAAAAATTATATATATAGGATACTAATATAAATATTTTTTATAATTTTAAATGAACTTATAATATATAATATATTTTTATGCATTATAAATAAAAAAGATATATAAAAAATTGAGATACATAAAGAAGTAGATACATAAAAAATTTTTATTAATAAATCAGTATACATTTGTACCTGTTTGTTTTTGTAATGATGGATTGTTTACTTCTATCTTATTATTATGAATACTTAGTTCTGTAACTTGATTAATTACATGTTTATTTGCATATTTATTTTGTACTATGTTAGTATCATTTGAGATATTAGACTTCATAATTTGTGGAGATTTTTGTAAAATTTCTTGTCTAACATCAGATTCTACATTCTCGCAAACAGATATATGACAATACTCATGTGCAGCTGTCGCATTTTCCTTTGGAGTAAATTGGATAATATTTTGAATATCATCAGATAAATCACAGCTGTTAATCACGTTTTCTGTCTTATTTGCATCTAACGTTGTCATTGCGTTAAATTTATCGCAATCATTTTCTTCATTTACCTGCAGAATCTCAGTAACTACTTTTTCTAACTTTTCATTAGAGATCATTTCTTCGTGTTTTTTGGAAGATTGTTTGTCTAACCGTAATGTCTCAGCTTCTTCTTTCGATGATTTTTCATATTGCACTAATTCTTGTAACGTTAATAATTCTATCTCTTTATGGAATATCTTTTTATTTTCTTCTTCTGATGTTAACACGTTCGATAGTATTTCTTCATGAACAATTTTATTTTCATCTATATCCGTTGTTATTTCCATTTCCATTTTAACACAAGCCACGTGAAACTCCACAAAACGTGTTACAAACTATATATAACGATCGTAAGTCAACAGTGCAGTGTTGGTTATTTTGTATTCTACTCATTAAATTTTATTTTTTCGTACAATTATATCGTCAGGTAAATAAAAATAATATTTAAGGAAAGAAAAAAAAATCATCACTTATCACATGTGCTATCGAATTATTTAAGGACATTTAGAGTATATCCACAGTTCACTCGACTTACATAGAAAACATATTCCTAGAGAAAATTATCCAATCACTTTTTCTTTCATAAGGACGTACGTAAAATACGATTGGATAATTTTCTTTATGCTAATTGATAATTTTGTTTATGCGGCTATGCAAGTTGTGTGGATATGAAAAATACTACCCAAAAGTATGAATGTTACTCAAAAATTGTTAAACTTAAAATGAGATAGATACGTATTTGGAAAAGAGAAAAAGCGAAGATAGGTTAGGTTAGATTACAACATATAATTAAAATATAGTCTATAAATAAACAACATTGTGATGGAAACTTGAATAACCAAAAAGAGACTATTAAAAAGAAATAAATTTATTTTCATAATTTATAGTACGTTTTATTATTAGAAATCGGCCATATTGAATAATGGCTTGCCTGTAGGAGGCGTTTAAAACGCTCCTTCTACAGCGAATCAGAAGTTTGCCGTCTATATACTTGTATAATCTGTGCGGTTCCTCCCGTTTATCGAATCCACCTGAATCCGCCCCGGAACTTGTTATGAACTTGATAATTTAGCGAGGAACAATGTCAATTAATCTGACGAAAAACAAAGATGCTTTGGTGGCGGCTTGGCACAGCGTGGTCGACGATAAATTGTCTACTAACTGGTAGGCGTATACTTCAATCTCGATTATGTTTTCTCGATCCGGCGTGTAGCATCGAATCATTTTCGGCACATTTGCTCATACACATGCATATATAAACGTTAAGTTAGCCGGTTATTTTCCGTCGGTATAAGAGTTCACAATTCTGAATTCAAACGTATACTTCAATACTCCATACTTTGTTATTTTGCATAAATATTGGACTAATTTTAAAAACTGCTTACTTTACTATCTGTCTATCTTGATTTTTATTTGCTTTTGAAATTTTTTTTTATTCGCTTTTGATAACTTATCAAGTAGAAAAAAGTACATTAAATATATTATCTTTTATCTGCGTGAGATGGATATTAAACACGTTAATTTATTTTTAATGAACAAAAATGATAAAATAGTATAAGATTATATGATTATATTTAAAACATGAAAATATAATTGTATTATTGGCCATGTTCAAATTAGACGAATCAACTAGCTCACACAACAATTGAATGTGATTGATTGGATTTATAGATAAGAACTAATCATGTTTAATTGTTTGATACTTAACTGTTTTGTCAATTTGAAGCTAAAACTATGATTTATTGATGTAAAATTTGATCATAATTTTGAGAGGGATCTGATTGTGCACATTGCTAATTGATCGATTTAATATAAAATATTCTCATGGGTAAAAAAA